CCTGGAAAGTAGCCACTCCAGGGAGGGATAGGAGGGCAAAAGTTATTTCTCCAATATATAAAAATATAACTGATAAATTTGACCCTTAAAATATAATACTGCTAGGTATAAAAAAATCTATCCAGTGGACCAGGTGAAACAAATGATTGGGAATTGTTTTTAAAATCAAGAATGAAAAAATATGTAAATGTTAATTCTAGGAAACCCAACGTTTATACAAGAAAGAAAAATATTCCACTATTGGCTTATCAGTAAATATACTATTTACATGAATATATTAATGTAAATGCTAACTTCTCTCATAACCCCAAATTTTAAAATAAAGATTTTGATATTACAAAGGGAAGAGAAATAAGTTAGGAGGTGCTATGATAGCTAAGTCTACATCTATTGTCATGGGAAATTAGGACTCAATATATAAAATTGATAAACCAAAATATAGCAATTTGTTCATATTATCTAGCTATGTAGAAAATAGCCGTTGCCTTGCTAAGCTATAGTCTGGCCATGTGTTCTTTTACCTAAGCTTTGGCCCCCTCCCCTACTTTAAAATAATTAAAAATGAGTACCACTAAAAACAGGAACGGGACGGTGAAGTGTGAGACAGGATTTTTTGTCATTTTAAAACTCATTTGCTTTTTAAAAAATTACTGTGTATATCATAAATATTAAAATGGGTATAGAAAAAAATTTCTCTAATCTCATAAAACATAATGCTAATGAATTTAATTCTCGAAATATTTATTGAGCTGTGTGCAAAGCATAGTAGTCCTAGGAGACAATGAGATTAATAAAATCAATTCCTGTCTTTTAGGATGACATAATCTTTTCAGAGAATAAACCAAGTATCTAAAGCACTCCAGTAGCAGGTAAGAAGACTAAAGAAGAGGATCAGGAGGGTACTACCACCTCCCCTGACCATTCTAGCCACTGAAGCCCCAGTAACCGTGACATCTAGTATACTCCAAACATAAAACGCTCTACTTATATCATTAACCTGATAATCCCAACATCGTTTCCATAGATGCCATAAGAAAGGATCATAAATCCAGTCACTTCTACCATATGTGAGTTTTACATGTGCACATATGTATGTGTGTGAATATATCATAGATTCACACATAATTTTAAGTTTTTCCTGGAAAATTTAATATGCATTTCCAACAAATGGCAAATAAAGACTAGTTTAGATTAGATTTAACAACAGGAAAGCGGGTTGTGGTGGCTCATGCCTGTAATCCCAGCACTTCGGAGGTTGAGGTTGAACAGTAGTTTGAGGCCAGGAGTTCAAGATCAACTTGGGCAACATGGCGAGACCCAGGATCTCTAAAAAATAATTTTTAAAAAACTTAGCCAGGCATGGTGGTACATTCCTGTAGTCCCAGCTACTTGGGAGGCTGAGGTGGGAGACTCACCTGAGCCCAGGAATGTGAGGCTGTGGTGAGCTATGATCATGCCACTGTACTTCAGCCTTGGGGACAGAGCAAGACCCTGACTCTAAAAACAAACAAACAAAAATACCATTAGGACTGATGTGTAAACCTAAACGAATTGTCTGTCATTCTTATGCTGCTGCTGTCCCATTTCCTTTGGAAGTACACATTTTATTTAGTCTTATAAAATGTTCCAAGAAACTCAGTCACATTGGTATTTGATGAGAAGTCTTGAGAAGAAAGAATCTTTTAATGTAGTTGCTGTGAGCATTTCAAAAGCACTGCTTTGGTTATTACACTTCTCAGTGAGAAAAGGAAGAAGGCCAGGAAATATTTACATTCTGGTGAGCCAGGAGTGCAGTGAACGAACAGCACTGTGCAGATCCTGGGGCAAAGACATTATTGAGTCTATGCATGCTATGTTTCCAATGCTTTTCCCTAATGTTTAACTACAAAATTGCTTTTGTTTAAATCCCTTTGTAGATTCTTTATATCTTATGGAAATTGACCACTGACATACAACAAATAATGAAAGATTGATTAGAAGCTCTGTGTTCATGGGCTGGGTTAGATAGTGGGTGGGCTTCAGTATACAGGGTGACTGAACACACAAGGCTGGCTTTTTTCTTGGGGTTCCATCAAATGTTAGTATCTAGAGATTTCTCCTCTAGGGCTGTTTATTACTGGAAAAGACTAACCCTTCCGTCTTCTGCCTGGGCAGAACATGCCTGGCTCCTGGCTCCTGGCAGTCAGGAGCAAGGTGGAGAAAGGAGTCAGGTTCAGTCTACACTCACTCAGCCCCCGTTTTCGGCCCTGCACTGATATTTTTGAGTTTGGTACTTGTCAGGTACAATTGTGTAACAGACGTGGGCTACCAGAGTTGGGGATATGTGCTTTCATATGATTGTTCAGAGGAGATGTAGGTGTGGAGGGTGATTTTTCAGTCAATTTTTCAGTTTTTTGCTCCACTCACATTTCTGTGGTAACTGGAATTCAGAGCTTCTCTGGGAGATCTGCAGGGTATTTCTGTCTTTTCGTAGTGTATTTTCCATAGAAGTATTAAGGATAAGCTATTCTGCTTTATAAGTCAGTTACCACCACCACACTATCCGCCTTTTGCCTTAAGACATTAAAAAAATGTGTTATTTACAGCTGTGTCTTTCATTTATATCTCTTGTCCTTTTGGGTTTATACATTTAGATTTTTAAAAAGTCCCTTTACTGTCATTTCAGTGTGATTTTGGAGATGCAATCTCTGTGATTAGTCTATCATTTTGAACCAGAAATCTAAGAATCATTTGCTCATTATTTTCTCTCTAATGCCTGGTACACAATATGTTCTTAAATAAATATTTGATGAATGAATAATTGAATGTGTCAAATTACAAGTTTTTTTTAATAATAGGAGACTTCGATGGCAGAAAATATATTATATCTATACAAATATAACAACTTTAAACAGCATCTTTTAAATTATAATTTTGCTTTGGCTTCATTCCATTTTTTGATTTTGTGCCTCCACATGGTCAAGGAAGCTAAATATTTTAAATTTTGTACTACTACAGGATGGATACGTGTTTGTTTATTTGGTAAAATACAATTTTAGCTGTTAAATTAGACTTAAGATACACATTTGTCTGTTTATAATTTTTCTCTAGAGGTAGATCGTATTGAGACTGATTTATGTAACAAGCACAGTTTTTATTTTTGAATGTATGTATATTTAGAGTAGTTCTATAAGGGCTGATGGTGATTATTGTATAAAACTTTCAAACTACCACTGTTTTCTCCCCACTGGCCCCCTTGTGGCTAATTATGTTTAAGAGTCTCTGTTTTAGTGTGGCATCTTATCCAGGTATGTTTTGCATTTCAAAGTGTATATGTGAGGATAGATACAATCTGCTAGGGGAAAAGAAACTAAACTATAAAAATGAGAGTAAGTAGTAAAATTGATGTTTTAAAGACAGCCCTATATCAGAAAGAAAGACGAGATTATAGAGATACAAGTATGATAGAGAGCCTGTGATTTGGCTATACTGCTGAATCTTTGGTCTCACAAATGGGATACTGTCATCTACCATACACCAAGAAACAGATGGATGAAATTTTGGTACTCACCCTTAAAGTAAATGACTAATTCTAAGTCCAAGTAATGAGTCAATGCAATTTTGTTTTAAACCACTGTGCATTTATTTTTCTCCAGTCTTTAAGGAGTTCATTAAAGGAAGCTACCCAGAAATCTAGAGAGAGTTCTTTCTTTTGGGGGCGGGGATTGGAATCTCACTGTCACCCAGGCTGGAGTGCAGTGGCATGCTCACGGCTACCTTAGCCTTGACCTCCTGGGCTCAGTCAATCCTTCCACCTCAGCCTTCCAAGTAAGAGAAAGTTCTAACTAAAGAGGTTACCTCTCCAGTAAAGACTTACAAAAAGAGGGACCCATACCACTGAATGTGTAAGTTAGTAGATTAAGAAAGCTCCTTACAGAAAACTCTAGGTTTGTGGAAATTGGGGTAAGAAATTGGGGGTAATGCTAAGAGAAAGGTGATGAGAAACTTCTTAGAGCAAGCTAACTATCTTTGTAAGTATTCTGGAATAGATTTTTCATACTGCATATCTTTCTAGCCATTTCCTTTAGCATTCCCATCTTTGTTATTTGGTTGACACATTCTATCCAGTTGCTAACACAAGATAAGACTGGCTTTAGGGAGAAGAAATAGCAAAGATAGAAGTGTACATATCAGAAAAGAAGGTATGAAAATGGTGGGTTTGGGAGAGAAGAGAGGCCATGAGAAGCAAAGAGAGCTTTAGAAAAAGAAAAGTTTTGAAAATGTAACTGAGACTTCTTACTTAAAATTGTTCTTCTCCTCTTAAGTAACTTCTCCAGTATCGTTGTTGGTGGGATATCTGAGAAGAAACACCTAAAAGAAAGAAAGAAAGGAAAAAAGAAAGCCAGGAAACTTTCACACCTTCATTGAAAGTTACCTGGTACCTACTTATAAGGGAACATGTTAGACGAAAGAATGTAATTATTGTATGTTAAATAGGAAATGAAGTTTAGGATTCTTTGCCATCCAGTCTTGTGCTAATGTAAAATTGGAATGAAAACTTGTACCAAAGAACTAGTAAGGATAATATTAGCACTCTCAAGAGAACCAGATAATAAAATCTGTATGAATAACAGTGATGAAGAAAAGCCATGAAAATTAACATTTCATTAAAATTAAAGCCACTGGAAATATTTTTGAAAATTAGAAATAAGCTTATGACTTTTGTCTTTGGAGAGGTAATACATTCTGAGATTTTTTTTCACTTTATATATGAATGTCATGAAATTTCTATCACAGCTGACTAAAAATGAAACAGCAGAATAACAATATTTTAGTACTCACTAGACTGAATTTAAATATTTTTAAAGGATTAAAAATATCAAAACTTCTTAGTTTATCCTAATGATCAATAAGAAAAAAAAAAGATCCAAACCGAACCTTCATGAGGAAAGAAAAGAAGTCAGATGTTATTTTAAAATCTCATTTCTCATTCCCTTTCTGTGTTTTGGTTTTGTTTTCAGGCCAAAGGGCTCCTGTGGAAGATGGAACCCGTTGTCCCTTTTCCAGAATGTGCTTCCAAGCCCATCGATGGAACTTGATACTGCAGTTTTGTGTTGAAATGCTTGAAGGACGCCGGCATCCCTGCCTGCGTCTCCCATCCTCCTGAAACCATGGTCTTCTCGGCACTGTTGCCAGCATCCTATGCTGGGGCATCCAACACAACGTTTGTGGTCTATGAAAACACCTATGTGAATATTACACTCCCTCCACCATTCCAGCCTCCTGGCATCGGTCCTCTGCTTAGATACGGTTTTGAAGCCATGGCTCCCACTGATTTGAGTTCCTTGACAGCAAATAGCACAGCTATGCCCCCAACACCAGCAGCTTTTAAGAGCCTAAACTTGCCTCTCCAGATCATCCTTTCTGCTATCATGATATTTATTCTGTCCGTGTCTTTTCTTGGGAACATGGTTGTTTGCCTTATGGTTTACCAAAAAGCTGCCATGCGATCTGCAATTAACATCCTCCTTGCCAGCCTGGCTTTTGCAGACATGTTGCTTGCCATACTGAACATGCCCTTTGCCCTGGTAACTATCCTTACTACCCGATGGATTTTTGGAAAATTCTTCTGTAGGGTATCTGCTATGTTTTTCTGGCTGTTTGTGATCGAGGGAGTAGCCATTCTGCTCATCATTAGCATTGATAGGTTCCTTATTATAGTCCAGAGGCAGGATAAGCTAAACCCGTATAGGGCTAAGGTTTTGATTGCGGTTTCTTGGGCAACTTCCTTTTGTGTAGCTTTTCCTCTGGCTGTAGGAAATCCCGACCTGCAGATACCTTCCCGAGCCCCCCAGTGTGTGTTTGGGTATACAGCCAGTCCAGGTTACCAGGCTTATGTGATTTTGATTTCTCTCATTTCTTTCTTCATACCCTTCCTGGTAATACTGTATTCATTTATGGGCATACTCAACACCCTTCGGCACAATGCCTTGAGGATCCATAGCTACCCGGAAGGTATATGCCTCAGCCAGGCCAGTAAACTGGGTCTCATGAGTCTGCAAAAACCCTTCCAGATGAGCATTGACATGGGCTTTAAGACACGTGCCTTTACCACCATTTTGATTCTCTTTGCCGTCTTCATTGTCTGCTGGGCCCCGTTCACCACTTACAGCCTGGTGGCAACGTTCAGTAAGCACTTTTATTATCAGCACAACTTTTTTGAGATCAGCACCTGGCTACTCTGGCTCTGCTACCTCAAGTCTGCATTGAACCCACTGATCTACTACTGGAGGATTAAGAAGTTCCATGATGCCTGCCTGGACATGATGCCTAAGTCCTTCAAGTTTTTGCCGCGACTTCCTGGTCACACGAGACGACGGATACGCCCCAGTGCTGTCTATGTGTGTGGGGAACATCGGACGGTGGTGTGAATATTGGAACTGTCTGACATTTTGGGTCATTCCTGGTTGTCCTTTATGGACACTGAATTTTCTTTCACGTGGCTTCTCCACTTATACTTCATTGTTCTTTAGGAGGGATGTGTGTGTATGTGTGTGTGCAGTGTAAAGAAAGAATGGTAATTAGTTATAGTTCTGTTACTAAGAATACATAATAGTGGGAAGGTGATCACAAATGTTACCTCCAGGAGAAATCCTTGATTTAGGGTGAGGAGATTATTTTTGTGGATTTTCAACATTGATTTTGTTTTTGTAGTAGGAATCTGGATTATGTTTTACTAAGCCTGCCATTATGTTGAGTTGTAGGTGTTTTGTATGCTGCTAAGGTATGCTTAGTTGAGCTTATCAATTCTTTTTTTTCTGGAAGGCACTGCTGCTTTTTGCCATCACATTGGAGCCAAAATCCCTTACATCTCAGTCAATACATATTTAGTTTTATTTTTAAAAATAACCTAAGGGAGTTAGTGACATTTTAAAGGTCATTACTATTTACTTTGGTGCACTTTAAGAAGCAATGTACAAATTGATTCCATCATATTTTTCAGACTTGCTTTTTATGTGACATGTTGTGCTTTAGGAAACATGTGCATAATCATTTCTGAGAAGTTAGTTTTTTAAAAAAAAAGTTTATCTGCATGTATAGTTTTAAAGGAGAGAACATAAAAATGTAGATATTTTTCTAAGCACAGTAGCAGCTCTTCAGAACCATAGGGCAAAATGGAGGAGGCAGCATCCTTGCAAATGTGAAAGGGGGTGCAGTGAGGGGGACCGCAGGTGGCCGACGCCAGCTGTGGCAATTCCTTTTACTCAAGGATTCTCGCTTGAGTAATTGAGTAATAGGTAAGTTAGCCATGGATTTATAGCATCTCGAAGAGTGTGGGGAGAAGGGGCTGCCATGTGTGAACACCTACCGTGTGCCAGGTACTGTGCTTCATTTTGTCCTCTCAGTATCTTGTGAAGTAGGTTTTTTTTTGTTTTTTGTTTTAAATGGATGAAGAAAGCAAGTCTCAGAGGGACTAAAATCCTGCCCAGGTTCAGTGGTAGAGCTGGGATCCAAAAATCTGTCTGACTCCTGAGGCTCTGCTGTTCTGCTTGTGCCACACATACACCTCATTCGGCATAGATGTTTCACAGACAAGAAGGAACTCAGTGTATTCTTTCATTTTTTTTTTTAGACTAAAACTTTCTTTTTAAAAATTGGCTTTTAGTTTATTACCAAAAGAAACAGGAAACTATTACAGAAGCTCTGGAAAATAGAAAAGAAAAAATAAAACCACTTATGACCACCTTTTAAAGTGGGACTTGAACATCGAAGATTAAAAAAAACAGGCTATTAAGGAAGTGAGGTGATTTCATCATCTTTTTTTGATTTGCGAAACAAGGGACTGACAGTTATTGAGAAATTAAATATAGCTGTCTGTAGGTCTTGCCCCCATGGGTTGGGAGGTTGGTTTCCAGTTGCCCAACTGTGCCGGTTCTGAATGTTCTGGGTAGAACAACATTGTTGACCCAGCAGAGCTGGTTTGTGAACATGCTCAAAGATGTGTCTCTTACAAACAAGGGAAGGTGATCCCTGTGATGAGCCTTGAGCATGTGTTAATAGGGCAGGTCTGAAATCTCAAATTATTTTTCTCTTGCTGACTACCCGTCCCCAGTTGCATCCAGGGCCTTTGTCACCACTGCCTCACTGTATAAAACAGCCCATGGGGATGGGGCTGCAGAGTAAGGCCATAAGGGCTGAAAGTGTAGGGTGCTGGCTGCCTTGTGGGCTAAATAGGTAAGTTAGCCATGGATTTATAGCATCTTGTCAGAACTGTGAGCCTGTGGTGGAAAAAAAAGCTTTGGTTTCTTCCGTTGTTAAACTGGAAAGTTGAATTAGATGCATCTCTAAGGCCCTGTTCAACTCTAATGTTCTTTCCTCCATGTGAGAGTGTAGATTGTTGAAGAGCCCAGCTGACTTCAGGATCACTTTTTGGTCTTCAGTATTACTTCTTTGCATTGGAGTTCATGAGCTATTTCTTAAAATTGAATGTCTGTAGAGCTTGTGGCACCATATCAGGAGTTAGGATTTTGCAAGGGTGATGACATCACAGAAGACCTGGGAAACCCTTCTCTTAAGGCAGCTGCAGTGGTGTTGGAGTCATTGTTCCATTAAAGAGCTCTTCTAGGACTCAAGTACATTATTCACCATGTTTTGGGATTATTTTCAGGCGAGAGCCACCTACCTCTTTAATTTCTCATTTATATTATTCACAGGTAAAATTTGTTTTTGTCCATAGGGATTTTATAGGACACTCCATGGTAGATACTAGTGGCATGTTGAAGTGTATTGTGCTTTTCATTTTCAATATAAACTGGATTTCAAGCAGATATTAATGAGAATATTTTTTAATTAGACTTTCTCTGAGGAAAGTCAGCATGATCTGTATTCACCTTACATATTGGTGAGTCATGACACTTCTTTTGTGGCTGGAGTTGACACTGAACTTCATTTGCTTAGTTATTGTCCATTGGTAGGCTTTAGGTACTTTCATGCTGCTTAGTGTGGTGTCTCATTTGGTGAGAACTCTGGAGTGCCTGGGAAAGAAGAACTAAGAGGGGCCTTTGTGAGGATTCAGCAACAACCCTGAACAGCAGATCTCTTTACACTGGATAATCTTGATCAGATGACAGTTTACAGATTATTTTGAACATTCTTATTGTGTATACATTTTGAAAGCTTTACAAATAATTACTATGGTGCACCTTCGAGAAATATAGGTGCAAAATCATGTGTTGCCTATTCTCCCATATTTTCTTGTGGGAAATAAAAATACCACTACTAACTCTCACTGCTGACAGACATATCAGAATTATTTTTGGTTTGGTTTTTGTTTCTCCTTCTGGCTAATAAGAATCATGAAAGAGATAATGAGATTCCTTTTTTTTTTTTTTTTTTTGGTCAAAAGAGATGCAAGAGAAATCCCAATTAGTATAGGGTAATGTTATTTAAACTTTAATATGTGTTTAAGTATCTCAAGGGAGCCTTGTTAACAATACAGAGTCTTGGGCCTCAAGAAAGTCTGTGGTTGGAGCTAGGCATATACCTTTCTATTTTGTGGAACACTTTGCCTGACTCTGGCTCAAGTGTTCCCTGGGGTACACTTCAAGCAATACCCCTGTAGAAAATATATCTGTTTGAATATCTGTTGGATCCCACAATGTTTGTTTTGGATTGGAAGCCATTATCTCCTAGGCATGGGTAATTCACATTGAGAGGAAAATTCATATCTCAATGTGTCTAATTTGCTGCCACCTGTGTTCCTGCTGGATCTTGCCAGTATTAGCTTTACTTTCTTTCAACTGGCAAAATTCTGATAAACCATGTAGTTTCGCAGTAGAACAAAAAGAGTAACTTTGTAATTGGAAGTCATGACTTTCAGAAATCTGATTTCTTTTCTCCTAGAGAGATATCTTTGTTGTATGTAATTCCCTGGAGAGTATGAGGGAAATGTAAAGAGTCCTCTAATTTCTATTGCTCTGCCAGTTGTGTTCAATGGAAGCATGAAGCAAAATAAAATAACCTTTGAAATCTATGTATTTCTTTTGCTGACAAAGATATTTAATTTAATTCTTGATCTTTGCTTTTGTTTACATGAAAATATATATGTATATATCACAGAAAATTTTCACTTGCTTGACATTTTATTCTATCATGATTTTTAGTTTAAGTTTAAAGAACTGCTAATTTTTTTTTTTTTGAGTTGGAGTCTCACTCAGTCACCCAGACTGGAGTGCAGTGGCTGCTCCCGGCCACCGCAGCCTCCACCTGCTGGGCTCCGGCGATCCTTCTGCCTCAGCCTTCCAAGTAACTGGAACTACAGGCACGCACTACCACGCTCGGCTAATTTTTTCATTTATTGTAGAGATGAGGTCTCGCCAAGTTGCCCAGGCAGGTCTCGAACCCACGGGCTCAGGCAATCCACTCACCTCGGCCTCCCGAAAGTGCGGGATTACAGGCTGAGCCACCAAGCCCAGTTAAAACTGCTAAATTTGAATTTATTTTCACAACTATATTCCTGCTAAACTGTCTTCATTGAAAACTCAATTTTTATAATAAATAAAAATATCAAAGCACTTGTTTGTTATTACAGGTAAATGAATAAACTTCTTAGACATCTATCAGTATTAGTCCTTTGTAATTAAAATTAATTTATTTTACAATAGTACCTGAGCTGTAAGAAAAGAAAACAAACCTCGAATGAACTTGGGGTTGTAATATTTAAATATCAAAAAGTATGGTTATTTGTGCATATTCTTATTACTACCAAGAAAAGCGCTCCCAATAAGAAAATGAATATATGTTTAACATTTCTAAAGTGGAGTTTATGAATAATAATTTCTGTTGAATTAAAATTCTAGTTTAGTTTCAAATCCTGCTTCCTTTGGGTTATTTTCAAATTAGCTGTCAAAGCCTGTGTTCATGTAACTGTATTCTAGTTCTAGAAGTTCTCAGAGTAATTCAGGATGAAATGAAACTTGATTTTTAAAAATCTTATTAAGGAGCAGTATTAAATACTGTCTAGGAAAGTTATGAAAATTTTACAGCTGAGTCATTTAAAATTAAGATTGTCAGTTTGGCAAAGCAGTGACAATGTCTGCTTTTATTTTGATGAAATCATTTCATACTGCGATTGTATTTCTAAAATCTAAGGCCTTTCTAAAATCCACTTTTAGCTCTATAGGAAACCTCATTTATTTGTATATAAGGGTTTCAGTTTTGTGCCAATTAAACATGAATATTTTAGTTTCTCTTTTTCACACATATACAACAGTTGCACAAAGTTCTATTTAATTTAAAGAAGAAGGTTGCTTTACAAAAAGGTGGTCATTGACTCTACATTCAGTGTTTCTTTCTGAAACGGAAAGTTAAGAAATACATAGCAAAATAGAGCAACATGTTGAATTAAAATAATGTGAAAATAATAGGTCTCACTTGATTTATCTATAATAAAGAGAAAACTTCTGGAGCAATTTCTACCTTAAATATCAAATTGCAGTCAATTAGATTTGCTATAAAAAAATTTATGGCCATAGTTGTCAACGTTTAGATAGAGAAGCAGAACATATTTATTAAGATTTATTGCAAATAATTTGCTTACATGGTTGTAGGACTGGCTAGGCATGTCCAAAATCTGAAGGACAGGTCTTCAGGAGAGGAAGGCTGGAACTCTTAGGCACAGGCTGAAGGTATTGTCCACAGGTGGGATTTCTTCCTTAGGAAAGTCTCAGCTCTGGCCTTTCAATGGATTGAATCCCGCCCAGCCAAAATATCTAGGCTAGGTGTGGTGATTGTAGACTATCAGATCTACAAAATACCTTGGCAGCAACACCTAGATTAGTGTTTGGTGGAATAACTGGGAATGGTAGCCTAGCCAAGTTGGCTCATCAAAAGACCATCACACTGATGATAATCTTCAAGTTTAAAATACTATTAAGAAATAAAATCCTATGGTGCCAGAGGTGGTGGTCCAAAAACTCAATCATGTAAATGTCACCATTGCATAAGTGAGAAGTTAATGAAATGACCAAGTTAAACTTGTTACAGAAGATGGGGTACACATTCTGACCACAGTATATGCAAATTTGCATAATCACAGGGCACCATATTTTCATCTATTTGAAACTTCCAAAAAAGGAGTAATAATTGATCAACTGATTTATGTAAACCAGTGTCCTTTCTCTATAAGCTTTCATTATCTATGATACTGCTCAAAAATGATACTTTCCTTTGACAAAATTTGAAAACATAGTTATAACAGTATTAACTCT